ATGTAGATACCATTTGTTGATCACATTGCAAAAATTCATGTGTGGGACACATAAAAACAATCTTTGAAATTTTATCAGTGCATGAGAATGAAGAAGAGCAGCACTATTTATTTTTGTGTTGTTATTGAACAATCTCAGTGATTTCCAGGATCTCCTGTTTATTTATTAGGCTGTTCAAAGGGTTAAAAACCAAGGACGCAGTCGATTGACTCTCCCACCAAAACATGTTTAGCAAACATAGATGAATTCAGTACCCAAAAGCTAAGGCTAACACTAGGAAGTAACTGAAGGTCTATTGCTGCTTCTACACAGCAAAAAAAAAATGTAATATCTATCAATGTAATTCAAGCTGATGTATGAAATAATGATGTAATTGTAAAAAGCAGATGCAATATTACATCAATAGATGTAATTTTGTTCGCAAAATCGATGTACATCGTACAACGTTATATTACACAACCGATCCTGGTTGCAGCAGTTTGGATGTAATATTCAACATCTTTTTTTTTCTGTGTCCTATCGCCAGTGGGAATTTTAGGTCAAATCCTTCTTGATTTCTAGGTCGTACACTGAAAAAAAAATTCACTTAGTTTCTATTAGGAACGCACATAGTATTTTTCCAAAAATAAAAAAATGATTTTTACCTGAATATCACATAGCATTAGAAATTCTATATAAAATCATATAGATTTCATTGGACACATAACGTTCATGTGATTTAGTGGTGCAATTTCCAATTATGGGATCACATGAAAATTATGTGAAATTCACATGGAAATTTTCCACTGGTTATATGATTTATTTTATGAGTGTAGCATTGTCCGAGTAGCATGATGATAATGTAGAGGTACATTTTCCACTTGCCGGGTGGGTCATAAGTACAGGTTTCGGCAAACGTCTACCAGAATGAGAAACGGTAAAGAAATTTCTTCCAGCAGTGGCCGACGATCTCGCGCTTATCAATCTTATCATCGTTAAAGCAAGAGGAATGAATGTTGTACAAAGAAAAACTCACATTCGTGTTATTTGATGCACGTTTTACTTTTAAACAGGACAGGCACAGTGATTACCTTCGTATATACTATGCAATATACTCAGATATAGCTCATTTAAACATCCATGAGAACTTGGCAATGTAAACAAACAATCTCAAAAGTCATAACTGCAGGGTTGCCAAACTCATGGGATATTGAGATCGACAGCTTGATTGTCACACTTGGGCACACTCGACCCAACGCTTGCCACAGTTTTCGGTACAGATAAAGTTCTCGGTCCAGATTGAGGTGTGCAGAGTTGAATACCCCTTGCATATGATAGTTATTTTATAATTTTCTTTTTGCTCGAATGTTATTCTACCATTTGTGTTGTGTGAGAGAGACGACGGTAGAGCATGAGTGTATGAATACAAACAGACTGTCGCGCACGACAACGAAGCGAGTGTAGTAAAAAACGTCAACCGTTTCAACCCCTGTGTCTGACAATGATCGCGTTGAGGCTTTGCTGCAGAAATTGTCCGAGTCGAACAGCAGATACTGTGATCTGGCTCCATATTACCACAGACAAACAGACATAACTCTTAGAAGAAAATTCTTCAAAAAATATTGTCAAGTGTATTTTGCATATGCACTAGCACCATCTATCATCCACATTCCCAAGCATTGATGTGGAACCAGAGCATCCCTCGTTCATGCAATTTTTCCACCAGTTGCTTTTCCCTCGTTCTGTCAACGCATCAGCTGTGTTGATTAAAAATAAAACAGATGAAAGTCAGTGATGTCGGTTCTACGAAATTTTCCGTAGATCTACCCGCATAAACGCGAACCATATCTTGACCTTACCGAACATGGTTAAAAATTGTTTATAATCCTTGCTAAACTTTAACTGAAATGGTTATGGAACTTTACATGAACGTTTGTGTGATAAAGTTTAGTATTATGGTTTTTTGGAAGTGAACCTTACAAACAATGGGTTGTTAAGAACCATTACCATTTAAAATTTTAGTTTTCTCCATACATTTTCGGAAAGAGAACTATATTAGAACCTTTTTACTTATGATTTGAGAACTTTAATGGTAATGGTTATGGTATTCAGTAAGGTCCATGGATGGTTTTGTAACATCGATCAACTTTATGTGGAATATATCGCGAATAGGTTGCCTGTAAATTAATGATTACCAATTCGTGATATATTCCACGTAAAGTTGACCGACAATACAAAACCATCCATGGACCTTACTTACTACCATAACCATTACCATTAAAATTCTCAAACCATAAGTAAAAAGGTTCTAATATAGTTTTCTTTCCGAAAATGTATGGAGAAAACAAGAATTTTGAATGGTAATGGTTCTTAACAACCCATTATTTGTAAGGTTCACTTCCAAAAAACCATAATACATAAGGTTAAAACTTTATCACACAAACGTTCATGTAAAGTTCCATAACCATTTAAGTTAAAGTTTAGGAAGGATTATAAACAATTTTTAACCATTTTCGGTAAGGTCAAGATATGGTTCGCGTTTATGCGGGTATAGAATTGATGGAATTCTGCAGAAATACGGATCCGTAGGAAAAATTCACAAAAACTAAGGACTATTTTTCAGGGATTTGTTTTGTTTGTTTAGTGTGCTTTTTCTTTTGCTGGAAACAAGTTTTTAAACGAGGTAATGCATCACTGATTATTGCCCTTTCTACCACCGCTCATCACTTCAATGTGTGTACAGAAAAAAAATATAATATGTATCAATCAATGAAATTCATGGTGAAGTATTGAACTTCAATAACTGGTAAAAGGGGTAAAAGTTGATAGAATATTACAGTCATCAACATGATTTGCTCTCGAATTATGTGATAATCGTCCAGCGTAATATTAGGAACGGAGTGACTAATGTGCAGCACTTTTGATGTAATATTCAACAACTTTTTTTCTGTATTCGTCAGATGTGGTTTGTGTCTCCAGTGGGATGCCTTGACCACTTATCATTTTCAAGAGCTAACATCTACTAACTAGACGTGAAAAAGAACTGGCATCACTGATAAGTTCGAAATGTGGTGGCTTGCTCAATGCTTCAGTGGCACCACCATGACAAATGCAAGCACATTCCGCACTAAAACATTATTTGCGATGAAAGTGATTGTGAGTGTTATGTCTGTTTGTCTGTGATATTACTGTGAAAATCTCCAGTCCATTAACGTTGTCAAAGCGAGTTTTAATTCTATACGCATCAATGCCGCCGATGTCACTTGAAAAAGATACGGCGATTTGTTTTTGCTTATATGAAAAAATGGGAAATACTGGTTTTAATGTAAAAATTGTCGCTGGTGGTTCAACACATTTTTTGCGGAACACAACTACAAAATATTGTTTTCTCTGATTACGCTAAAAAAATTCGAAAAAATAAAAAATAATAATATGGAAATAAAATCAACTCTTCATACATTTTTGTATTAACATTATGTCAATAGAAAGGTGGGTGTAATTAAAACTGATAGCATTTAGTGATTCATTAACATTAATTATTGTTTAAAAAAAACATTTAAAACTTTTATACCGAAGGAGAGGGAAGATATGAGATGGATAATAACTAGGTAGGTCATGACCTTTCATACACATTTCCTGACAGTTGGTGAAAGGTCATTTGGATTCAAGCTGCTGCACGGGTAAGTTAGACATTGATAAGCTGTGTCGTGGGTGATTTGCCCATAATTAATATCGGCGGATTTTCACAGGGCTAAGGGAAAAAACGTCTCCGAACGAAAAACCCGCGTAGACTCCACCGTGGCTCGATCTGTTTTTGTTTCACAACGTCACAATAACAAAAAAAAAAAAAACCAACCGCCATCGCTCCTGTAACCACGCTCGACTGTTCTGCGTTTATGTTTTCACCTTCTTTGCAGCGGGAGGAGCTTTATGAGCCTAATTTTATTTGGGACGCGATACATTTTAAAACGATAATTTTTTCCTATCTAACTAAACTAACATTAAAAAAAAAAACGAATAAAATAACGTGCAAAATTTACAAATTAAAATTATTCACGAAGGCATAGTGATGAGTATGCCCGCATAAACGCGAACCATAAATTGACCTTACCTAAAATGGTTAAAAATTGTTTATAATCCCTGCTAAACTTTAACTGAAATGGTTATGGAACTTTACATGAACGTTTAATGATAAAGTTTCAACCTTACGTATTATGGTTTTTTGGAACTGGACCTTACAAATAATGGGTTGTTAAGAACCATTACCGTTCCAAATTCTTGTTTTCTCCATACATTTTCGGAAAGAGAACTATATTAGAACCTTTTAACTTATGATTTGAGAACTTTATGGTGGTAAGCTCCAACTGATATTATCCTCGGATTAAATCCCGATCAAGAATGTCCGGCTGCTTTGATGTCGACATCAGAGTGAATCAACGCGGCTTTAAGCAAATATTTTGCAGATCATCCAAACAGGGACGGTATTAAAAGTTAATCCGAGTTGGAGCTTACCACCATTAATGGTGGGTTCAAAACTCAGCCATCTAAAATGATCCATTTGATTCAAACATAAATATTTTAGTTTTAAACATCCCGCATAAACGCGAACCATCACATGACCTTACCGATAATGGTTATAAATTGTTAAAATTCCATAACCATTTCAGTTAAAGTTTAGGAGGGATTATAAATAATTTATAACCATTATCGATAAGATCAAGTGATGGTTCGCGTTTATGCGGGTGTCGCCGGCCGTGCAATGAAAACAAAAACAAATTTACTTTGACTATATGTTTTAGTATTACTTCTGTGTGAAGTCAACGATTTACATAGTTGAAGATGCTAATTTCAAATAACAGACTGTAGTGGTAATTTTTATACGATAGATGGAGTAGATGATAGTATAGAGTTTGATAGTTCCGTTAGAGTACGGCAGTGTGAAAATTCCATATAGATAGTAGAATAGCGAGCTAGGACAACTTTTAAGGAAGATACAAATCGGTTTTTTCATCTCTCTTTACCAAACTCCCCCTTTGGAGAGGGATGGTGAGGAGTGGTCACCCTATCATCCATCGGGGCGCGGCAACAAAGTATCACAATGTGGCCCTTTAGAAACGACGAAACGTTTGAGCACAGCAATATCACAACCCACGATGTAATATCTTATTCGCTAGACGGTGGCTTCATCCTGGTGGCCGTCGTCGTCGTCATCGTATGGAAGTGGCGGCGCAACATGAGCCGCCTAAAATCACTCGAAGCAACGTCGAGAAGGAACAATCTCAACGTCTAAGCGGGCGTCATCCGACGCCCGCCGAGTCAGCAGTTTTGGTGCACCCGGCACCAAGAAGGATGGCTCGGATCTGTGCACACGGCACCAGCAGAGTAAAATTATACCCAACTCTGTAATGAAAAATTCTAATAAAATTCAGTCTTGATCAGAACATCAACCGCGTCGAGTTGTTGATTTATACCACAGCTTCTTGTGGGAATAGGGTCTCGGCCTATTCCCTAGTTTTGCTGATTTCAGAGTTGTTGTAAACGGCCCTTGCGGGAGCGGGGCAAGCAATGTCTGATAGCAGAACCATTTTTGGTGACCCCGACGTGATACCAGCGCTAGTGCGTTAAGCCCGGTCGCGAGTGCAGTTAAGTGCATCTCTAAAAACCGTGATTGTCGATGCTGCTCCATAGCAGTAAATTAACGATCGTCTATTGATTGCCCGCGTGCAATCTCAGTGATACCGGCGCTAGTGCGTTAAGGCCGGTCGCGAGTGCAGCTAAGTGCATCTCCAAAAACGTGATTGTCGGTGCTGCTCCATAGCAGTAAATCAACGAACGTTAATTGATTGCCCGCGTGCAATCTCAGTGATACCGGCGCTAGTGAATGAGCCCGGTCGTGAGTGAAGCAAATTGCACTTCCTAAACGTGATCGCTGCCGGAGCACCGCAGTTGCAAATCTAAAGTGTGTGAACATCACCCGAAAGCGACCCTTAATTAATTGCCCGGGTGCAATCTCAGTGATACCGGTGCTAGATGGTCGGCCCGGGTGTGAGTGAAACTAATTCCATCTTCAAATCGTCATTATCGCTGCTGTCCAGCAGCCGCCAAATCAAGTGCGTAAATACCGCCAGTGCACGATCGTTAATTGATTGCCCGCGTGCAATCTCAGTGATACCGGCGCTAGTGAGTTAGCCCGGTCGTGAGTGAAGTAAATCATACTGCCTAATCGTGATCGCTGCCGGAGCCCCGCAGCTGCAAAACTAAAGTGTGTGAATATCGCCAAAGAGCGATCCTTAATTAATTGCCCGGGTGCAATCTCAGTGACACCGGTGCAAGTAAGTTAGCCCGGGCTGCGTGAATATCTCCCGAGAGCGATCGTTAATTGATTGCCCGTGTGCAATCAGAGTGACATAGTGCATAGTGAAAATTGCCGCCGGCAATTGAACATTACACTTCTAACGTAACCCGGTGAACAAAGACAAATAGTGCACAGTGAAAATGCCGCGAGCTGATGAGGAGCGGGCCGAGTTGGTGGAAACCAGTAAAAACCAGCTGGTCGCTTTGGAAAACAGTATGAAGCGGATGGCGAGTGACGCCAAGAAGTTAAAAGACCAGGCCCACACCTGGGTGCAGATAAAAACAACCACAGGAATGCTGGACGGCCTGTACGAGCAGGCGTCTAACGTCTTGCTGCGATTGAAGGGCCTTGATGGTCCTCAACAGCGTAGAGAGCCTTCAATGGCTGTCTACCTGAACGCTAAGGTGCTGCTGGAAGAGATGGCTCAAAAAGTAATGCCAGCGTCTTCAAGCAGCTCTTCGAATCCGCTGCTGGACCATACTATCCAGTAGCCTTCAGGGCGATCCGACCACTTACCGCGGATCGAACTTCCAAGATTCAACGGTTCACCCACGGAGTGGCTCTCGTTCAAGAGCCGCTTCGAGAAGAGACTATCTGCTCTTAATGAAGATGCGGATAAATTCGCATTTTTAGGGAAATGCCTAGAGAACTTCGAGCCTGCCAAAAATTCAATTGAGGCACTCGAAAACTCGGGAACGAGCTTTGCCGAAGCTTGGCAAAGGCTCGAAACGCGCTTCTACAAGCGCAGGATAGCCTTTGAAGGCTACTTTTCTAAGCTGCTCAAGGTGAAGAAAATCATGAGTCCCAAAGCCAAGGGAATTCTGGCTCTGATCGATGTAGTAGACACCACAGTCCACGCCGCTCACCAAATCCAAGGTGAGCGGAATCAAACACTAGATTGCGTTGTCAACGGCCTAATTATTGCCATCGTAAAAGGCAAATTAGACGACGCAACCATATCCAAGCTCGAAGAGAGCTTGGATCTACAAAAGATATATATTTGGGCCGAATTCAAGGCCGAGTTGGAAAAGCGGGCCAATCAGTTGGCCTGCCAATAACTGGAAGAGGCTCCGCCGAGAGCGCGTCATAACAAGACCGCAGCAGTAGCTACGGCTACACAAAACAAAGAGCCAATCAAAAAAGCTCAATCCCAAAATAACAAAAAAAAATGCTTCGTTTGCGGAATTAAAGAGCACAGCATCTTTTATTGTGCTGCTTTCAACAAGCTTCCCATCAAGGAGCGGTGGGAGGCTGTGTCAAATGCCAGGCGGTGCTACAACTGCATCTCCTGGGGACACTCCGTACAAAAGTGCCCCTCTAGCCTCAATTGCAAGGAATGTGGAGCGCGCCATCATACGCTGTTACATTTCGAAGTTGCGGAGAACCCTCCGCAGACAACCCAAAAGGTAAACAAAGGATCAACAACTACGGCTTCGGCCTCGACCAGCACCTCCAAATGACTAGGAGGCAGCTACGTGTTCCTGGCTACCGCCCTCATCCAAGTGAGGGACCTGGTACCAAATAAGGTGCCTACTCGACTCAGGCAGTCAGGTCGAAACTATAAGTGAAGAAGCAGCCCAAATCCTTGGCTTGCCTTTCTTGAAAGCCCAACTGACCATAAATGATATCAACGGAGCTATTACCACAAACGAAGTGACAGACGGAGCGGCTCGAAAACTTTGGTGGCTAACCTGCTATTTCAATTTTTCAGTGTACCACATGGCAACACCACTACTACTGGATTGTACCACATGGCAACACAACTGCTGGATTGTACTAGCATTTTCACCAAATGTATTAGAATGTTTTGGTTCTATCTCTTTCACTCTACTCAAAACTGAAATGCATAAAAAAATGACAAAATGATACACTCTTTGCACACTGTCAAAGAATCATTGTACACAAAATCAACTTTGTTCAAATCAAAACAAAAAAACTAACCCATCTGGTGGATGATGGCACAAGCTTCCAAGAAAATTCTATTACAGTGAACCACATTATTTAAATGGATTTCTTCGCCAGTTAGTCGTCTGTCCCTTCGTTTGTGCTATTACTACACGGCGAAAAATTACAACTCGAATCGCATCTAGGAGTGGCGATTTCACAATGACAGTGGATATGATGGTAGGCCCGCACCTGGTGGAGGACCAACCCAGTATCACACTACGCGCAGGGGAAATAAGCGTGCCATCGGGCATTGAATTGGCTGACCCGTCCTTCTATCAAAAGCAACCAGTTGAAATATTGCTTGGATCGCGAATATTCTTTCAAATTATGGGACCCAGATCCATCAATCTGGGCAGCGGACCAATCTTCCAAGAGTCCGCGTTTGGGTGGCTTGTCGGCGGACTAGCATCGTTGCAAGTATCACGTCAAGCTACTATCGCTGTTATCGCAGCTAAGCCTGAAGCATCAAGAGAGGCAGATTGCGCATCAGCCCCAGATCATAGTGACAAGGATCAAGGACTAGATAATCTGTTCAGGAGTTTTTGGGCGCTTGAGGAGGTGACTTCTGCGGAAGCGATGCCCTGTCACAGCGCGAATGCATGCGAGGAACACTTCCAAAAATACACGACAATAGTAGCGGATGGGAGATATGTAGTCCACCTTCCCTTTAAAAATGAGCCACAGCTATTAGGCCATTCATTTGAGCAGGCCAAGCGATGCTTACTATCTTTAGAGAAACGGCTTGCCCGCCATCCTGAAGTATACAAGCAGTATAGAGAATTCCTAGCTGAATACCTCGCGATGAATCACATGGAGATAGTCCACCCCAAGGACAAGTTAAAGATTAGGTACTACATACCACACTCTTGTGTAATCAAACCGGATTCCACTTCAACAAAATTGCGAGTAGTATTTAACGCCAGCGCTAAAACGTCAAGTAACATATCGCTCAGCGACATTCAACACAGTGGTCCTGTAATACAGCGGGAATTATTCGACCTGCTGTTGGATTTCAGATGCCACGATAAAGTGGCTACAGCCGACGTCACGAAGATGTATCGACAAGCAAATCTCCACGAAGAGGATTCGTGGTTCCAATGCATCCTCTGGAGGAACGATCCCTCCGAGGAAATACAAGTGTACCGATTGAAAACGGTAACCTACGGCGAAGTGGCATCGTCCTTCCTGGCTTGCCGAGCGCTTCATGAGGTCGGAGAGGAAATTCGACCCGAACAACCTGAAATTGCTGAGGCTATTCAACAATGCTTCTACGTGGACAACTTCATGATGGGGGGAGATTCCGCCGGAAAACTTTTGGAGAAGCGGAAAGCAGTGGAATCAGCCCTGATGAAGAGAGGGTTTCCTCTACGCAAGTGGGCGTCCAACGACGTCAACATTCTCGCCGGAGTATCAGACGAGGACTTGGAGAAAGAAATCCGAATCGGGGACCATGACATCATAAAAACATTAGGTGTACCGTGGTCGCCTAAGGCCAATACGTTCCGATGCATCGCGGAGGACCAGGTAAATTCACATGAAAAAATGACTAAACGGCAGCTCGCCTCAGAGATATTGGTACGATCCACTGGGCATCATGCAGCCAATAATCATCACAGCCAAAATCCTTCTTCAAGGACTTTGGAAAATTAAGCTAAAATGGGATGACGAAATCCCCACTGATTCACAACATGAATGGCAACAATTGAAGAAAACACTGCCAAAACTCGCTAGCTTGGCAATTCCCCGCCAGGCGATCCCAAGCAATCCTGTGCACTTGGAACTGCATGGATTCTCAGATGCATCAAACCTGGCTTATGGTTGCGCGATCTATGCGTATTGCATAGACGAGAAAAATCTAATGTCAATGAACTTATTGTGCGCTAAATCTCGAGTGGCGCCAATGAAGGATATCACCCTCCCACGAAAAGAGCTTCTGGGAGCAAAGCTGCTGGCGGAATTAATGAACAGAGTGATTTCAATTATACCAGCACACGTTCAGAAAACATACTACTGGTGTGATTCCCAAGTAGTCTTGGCTTGGATTCATTCAAGCGTACCCCACAGTGAAGTGTACGTTCGCAATATAATCAACGTAATCCAGTCCCTCACACAGCGAGCGGACTGGCGCTATGTGCCAACGGATCAGAATCCTGCGGACATAGTCTCGAGAGGTATCTCCGTGAGAAAACGTCTAACCACAAAAAAGGATATGTGGCTGCATGCCACAAACTATGCACTAGTGAACAGGCGGCACGTTGAGGCATATGACGCTCCGCAAGTTATAGCAATCTGTTCATCAACCAACAGGGACAATACAAGCAATGAGGTGGAGGACTTAACATCAAGTTACCCGCACCATAACTCGTTCCAGAAAACGCGAAGGCATTTCGTCATCATCAATCGGGCCATGAACAACTTCATGGCTGAATCGGTGGCCATCAAGAGCCGCGGGGTTGACCGAGAGCCACGTTTCGGGTCCTTAACCGTCAACGAACTGGAGGCTGGTGAGCAACTAATCGTCAAGCATTTACAGCGAATCAAACCTGACCTCAAAAGACCTGGTACCAAATAAGGTGCCTACTCGACTCAGGCAGTCAGGTCGAAACTATAAGTGAAGAAGCAGCCCAAATCCTTGGCTTGCCTTTCTTGAAAGCCCAACTGACCATAAATGATATCAACGGAGCTATTACCACAAACGAAGTGACAGACGGAGCGGCTCGAAAACTTTGGTGGCTAACCTGCTATTTCAATTTTTCAGTGTACCACATGGCAACACCACTACTACTGGATTGTACCACATGGCAACACAACTGCTGGATTGTACTAGCATTTTCACCAAATGTATTAGAATGTTTTGGTTCTATCTCTTTCACTCTACTCAAAACTGAAATGCATAAAAAAATGACAAAATGATACACTCTTTGCACACTGTCAAAGAATCATTGTACACAAAATCAACTTTGTTCAAATCAAAACAAAAAAACTAACCCATCTGGTGGATGATGGCACAAGCTTCCAAGAAAATTCTATTACAGTGAACCACATTATTTAAATGGATTTCTTCGCCAGTTAGTCGTCTGTCCCTTCGTTTGTGCTATTACTACACGGCGAAAAATTACAACTCGAATCGCATCTAGGAGTGGCGATTTCACAATGACAGTGGATATGATGGTAGGCCCGCACCTGGTGGAGGACCAACCCAGTATCACACTACGCGCAGGGGAAATAAGCGTGCCATCGGGCATTGAATTGGCTGACCCGTCCTTCTATCAAAAGCAACCAGTTGAAATATTGCTTGGATCGCGAATATTCTTTCAAATTATGGGACCCAGATCCATCAATCTGGGCAGCGGACCAATCTTCCAAGAGTCCGCGTTTGGGTGGCTTGTCGGCGGACTAGCATCGTTGCAAGTATCACGTCAAGCTACTATCGCTGTTATCGCAGCTAAGCCTGAAGCATCAAGAGAGGCAGATTGCGCATCAGCCCCAGATCATAGTGACAAGGATCAAGGACTAGATAATCTGTTCAGGAGTTTTTGGGCGCTTGAGGAGGTGACTTCTGCGGAAGCGATGCCCTGTCACAGCGCGAATGCATGCGAGGAACACTTCCAAAAATACACGACAATAGTAGCGGATGGGAGATATGTAGTCCACCTTCCCTTTAAAAATGAGCCACAGCTATTAGGCCATTCATTTGAGCAGGCCAAGCGATGCTTACTATCTTTAGAGAAACGGCTTGCCCGCCATCCTGAAGTATACAAGCAGTATAGAGAATTCCTAGCTGAATACCTCGCGATGAATCACATGGAGATAGTCCACCCCAAGGACAAGTTAAAGATTAGGTACTACATACCACACTCTTGTGTAATCAAACCGGATTCCACTTCAACAAAATTGCGAGTAGTATTTAACGCCAGCGCTAAAACGTCAAGTAACATATCGCTCAGCGACATTCAACACAGTGGTCCTGTAATACAGCGGGAATTATTCGACCTGCTGTTGGATTTCAGATGCCACGATAAAGTGGCTACAGCCGACGTCACGAAGATGTATCGACAAGCAAATCTCCACGAAGAGGATTCGTGGTTCCAATGCATCCTCTGGAGGAACG